GTATTTTCAGTCTGTGGTGTGTTAGAGCACTGTGTCAAAGGCGCAGCTCCCTGCTGCTTGACATCCTCCTGGGGCATCCCTCCCTCCAGACCCCGCTCACCGAGAGTCCAGTGTGGCCACTAAAGTCAGGAAGGTCCCTGCATTGTTGAACAACCTTAACACAGTGCGTGCAAAAAGCCTGTGTTTGATTACTCTCTGGCGAATTCAAAATAAGAAAAAGCATCTCCATTGCTGGATAAACACCATGACCAACAACTTGAGAAGGAAAAAACTTACACTTTGTAATCACTGAGGGAAGTCAGGGCAGCAGCCATGGAGGACACTGCTTGCTGGGACACTCTCACATACCCCTGGACCCCTTGCCTGTGGGGCAGCATCTCAACACTGGGCTGAGCCCTCCCACTACAGTCAATCAAAATGCCCTCCATCAATTGTGAGGCCCCCTTTCCAGGGGACCCCACACATCACTATCAACCACAGTCTTTCCTTTGTCCCCAATATCTCACGTTAACAGGACAAAACACAGCCTGAAAGCCCTAAATTTAAATCCGTTCAACACTTTACAAGTATGAGATTCATGTAATTTCTTACTTGAAGAGGAAAGAACAGCAAAACCAAACTCCCAACAATGTAAACATCTCAGTGTCTGAGACACGGGGGAGCAGCACTCTACACTGCCACTGTCATTGGTGCTGGGGTGGTCACTGTAGCCGAGGCTGTAAGCACAAATAGCCTTCCTGGTTCTTTAGGACTGACCCTGTCTTACCATGGCAAGCATTAGCTCTCTCCAGGACCCTCCAGTACAACTCCAGCACCTTCTCCAGTGGCCTCTTGGCCCCTGCAGGAGTTCCAACCTGGCTTCCTGGCTCCAGGCATCAGCTGCTCTCTGTGACTCACCCTCTCATACCTTCAAAACCAGGACCATGTGGAAGATTCTAAGCCCCACTGCTAAGCTGAACAGCAAACTCAGAGATACAGCTCTGCCCACCCTGGAACATACCTGTGTGCTCAACCTTAGAGACGCTTCCCAGAGACTTGACCTCAGTGATGCTGGTTCCTTAATCACAGCTGGTTTTTCAGCCTGAGTCAACCAACATCAGCTGTCTTGGTAAAGCAAAGGTTTCTTTCATTCAGTGGTACTGGTCTCTTGTTAATCACAACTCAGTTTTCAGCCCTAGCGGACCAAAACACAAATACCTGATTCAAAATGCTACACAAACTACAACAGTCTTTGAGGGACTCCAACTTGACAAGTCAGACCCCATCATCTGCATTTCTCAGTATTTACCAAGTTCCTACCGAAGAGTTCACTAAGTCGAGCGCTCAACTATCTTTGCAGACTGAGTTCCTAACACTTCTATAACCCAAAACAAGAGTCGCATCTACAACAGCAGTGCTCCACTCTGGGACCAATGTCCACCCTGGTTTGCAAGGGAGGAAGGAAAGACTGTCTCCTATGACATCATTTATATCAAGGAAGCCAGGGCAGGAGCCTGGAGACAGGAACTGAGGCATACTGTGGAGGAGCACTCTGTACTGTGGAACAGACTGGAGGAGCACTCCTTATTAGCTTGCTCCCCAAGGCTTGCTCAGCTGGTTTCTTTTACACATCTCAGGACCACCCGCCCAGGGTGGTATTGCCCACAGTGGGCTGGGCATTCCCGTATCAATCATTCATTCAAAATGCAAGGAAGATGAAGACCTGCCCCGTCCAGCCTGATGGAGGCAGTCCCTCAGCCAACACTCCTCTCCCTAGAGATAGCTAGTACTGTGTCGAGTGTCAAACCCAGCATAGGGAGGAGACAGCTGATCTGGCTTTCAAAGTCCATCCCTGAGGGAAGTCAACGCAGGACAGAAACAAACTGGAGCAACACTGCTCATCAGCTTGCTCCCCCAGGGCTTACTAGCACCACCTACCCAGGTGACACTGCCCACCCTATATCAATCACTGATTAGAACAGTGCACCTCAGGCAACTGTGATGGAAGGGAAAAAAAAACCCTCAAGGGAGGTTATCTTTCCCCCAGTGACTCTAGTTTGAACCAGATTGACATGCACCACCTTTTAATGCCAGCTCCTCGGCAGCTGGGATACAGGGCACAGCAGTAGACTGGGAGAAAGCCTACAAAGCTGCATGCCCCGGGAAAAGCCAAGAGCAGTTAGTGCGTGAAGGAATTTTCCTGATGTAAAAGCAAAGAGATAACACATTCTCATGACAGTTTATGAACAGTACAAAATAATCCATCCCCTATAGCTGCTTGATGCTGTGTAGCTAACCATGGAAGGTCCTTGTTCAACTGTTGGGTGGGTGACAGCCAGGCAGAGGGGTCGTCATAGCTGGCTGGCCCCATCTTCCACAGGACTTGTGACCATCCCTTCTATAAACTGCCCTCTCCATGCAAAATCTGACGGCAAGAGTAGCAACGCAAATACTTTTTAAAATCTCTGAGAAATTCGAAACGGCTAGTGGATCTTTTGCAGCTGAAGACGCCTGCCACAGGCTACCGCCCCAGACAGCACTAGTATTCCTCCATATCCACTGTCTGACTCTGCCAGAACCCCTGTGCCCAGAGTGAGCAGGTACACACACTCCTGCCGTCTAGAAAAGGGTGGACAGGGGTCAGGTTGGCCTTGTGCTTAGTAGTGTGCCTGCCACACAGCATAAAAACGTAAGCCACAGTCCCCAGCATTTCATATATAAGATACTGGATGATGGTGGTGTGTGCCTATAACCCTAGTGCTGGAAAGCACGTAAGCAGGAGCCCAGAAGCCCACTGGCCAGCTGTCCAGATGAACCATAAGGAATCATGAGACCTCATATCAAGAAATAATTCAGTACATACACACAGGGGGCTACTACTCAGCTGTAAACAATGAAATAATACAACACTGCACACATCCAATACAGGATTTGCAAGAACTGACCTGGGAACCGCCTCATTGAGAACTAGCTCATGATGGTTTGGGATGGAGTCATGCAAGCTGCCAACAGTAAAGCTATCAATAGCCCCATCCAGCTAATAACACCAGTGAACCACGGTGACCAACATGGTAAAGTATTCGACAAGGTACAATAGCAGTACTTCTATCCCATGGGTAGCCAACAGTCACTGAATACATTTCATGCCTAGCACTGTCAACTTAGCCAATCTCCCATGCCCGAAGAGAACAGGGACCCAGGGGAGAACCTAGGATGGTCACTCTCCTAACCAGTGCCATTCTGAATACTGTCCTACCTGCAGACCATCTGCAGCAGCAGTTTACAGAAAGCCACAACTGGTCAAAGCACAGAGACCAAAGGACTATGGTGTTGCTTCCAACCAATACAACACAACCTCACTCCTCAGGCTCAGGGGACACCCTGGAGGGAGATGCAGGGAGATTCTAAGAGCCAGAGGACCAGGACATCTGTGATGGCTATAGTCTCTTCTTAAAAACAGACACAGAGCTGGGCGGTGGTGGCGCACGCCTTTAATCGTAGCACTCAGGAGGCAGAGGCAGGCGGATCTCTGTGAGATGGAGACCAGCCTGGTCTACTACAAGAGCTAGTTCCAGGACAGCCTCCAAAGCCACAGAGAAGCCCTGTCTCGGGGGGAAAAAAAAAAAAAAAGGACACAGAAAGAGGAAGGATGAATACGATCAAGATATATATGAAATCTCCTAAGGCTAAGAGATTATTTTTGTATGTTTTGACATAGGGTCTCCCGCTGAACCCAAAGCTCACCGACTTGCCTAGACCAGCTAACTACCAAACTTGGGAATCCTCCTGTTTGCATCTGTGCAGAGGTAAAACTGCAGGCTCTCCCCAGCACTCCTGGCTGCTGATGTGAACACTAGGGTCTCCATGCTGCACGGCAAACACTGATGACTAAGCTACCTCCCAACCCACACACGGCTTTTTATGTGGGTCCTAAGGCCCGAACTCAAGTCTTCATGCTTGTACAAGCCCGGTACCCTCCATGCTGCCTCTGGCCTATGGGAGACATCGTTTCACAGAGAACCCCATGGAAGCTGTGGGTCCCTGCTTGGGAGCTGACCCATATCCTCACCCCTCTGTCTCCAGACTGTAAACCAAGTCACCTACATAAATTCTGTGGTACAGTTTAACTACACGAAATAGAGTCCAGATATTTGTCATGCTTTAAATATTAGATTTTTTGGTTTTTCGAGACAGGGTTTCTCTGTGTAACAGCTCTGGCTGTCCAAAAACTCACTCTGTAGACAGGCTGGCCTTGAACTCACAGAGATTCGCCCACCTCTGCCTCCTGAGTGTTGAGAATTAAAGATGTGCTCCACACCTTTTCATCCCTAGCATGCTAACTGTTCAAAGTCCTCGTTTCACATTTGAAATGCAAACCTCCGTAAAGCCAACAACCAGGGCCAATATGGGCCTGGACTTGACCTGAAGGGCACAGCTTGCTTTCCCAGCAGTGCCAGAACTGAGTTCAGGGGCTGCAGACTGAGCAGGCACAGGTGAGAGGAACCACATGGTCTGCATGGTGAGGAAGACCTGGTGAACACAGCTTACCCAACTCTCCACCCGGAGTTCCTTTCCAACTCTTTGCCAGCTGCTGGAATGCAATTATCTCAAAGAAAACAATGTACAAGAAAAAAGTTTTTTTTCTCAAATGGCTGTTGAATTTATTTCCTTGATCAGTAACGATCCTGGCAAAAGTTAGTTAACCAACATTGAGACATTTGTAATGAAATACTAATTTAAAAAACCCATGATACCTTGATAGAAATTAGAGTTTACACAAACAAAAAGAAGTCTTCACTATTGCCAGCAAATGTAAAACGAATGCAGTATGCCTGACAGGACGCAGCAGGGCACTTGTACGCTTATATTTGACACTTGACCTATTTCCAGTCACCATACTATCTTCTCTCCAGATTTAAAAAAATAGTGTGCTGATTTCTATAACAAAGCTTTTTTTTTTTTTTGTCCGTACAAAAATCAAATAATGGCCAACAAGTCACAACAGTGCAATAGGTAGAGGCTTAAAAAAAAAAAAAAAAAAAAAGAATTGCATCAAATAGGTGCTGAAATAAATACTAACTGGGGAGGCTAGAGCCCTCGTGTGGGTTTGTCTTCAGAGCCACAGGGGAGCTCCCAGGGAGGCCACTCATCTGACAGTAAAACCCAATCTGGCCGGCTGCCTAAGAGTCAGGCCTCCCAGACACCTTGGTGCAGTCACCTGACCTGGGAGCAAAAATCAGGTGGAATGGGTGGCAGCTGTCCCTTTCCCACTGCTCAGTGTTGTCCGAGGGAGTCCTTGAGCAGCTCCTTGAGATGAGGACAGAGTGGAAACTTTTGCAGGAGAGCATCTCTACATGGCTTATCCTGGCAGAGTTGTGCACACCCGAGCCCAAGCAAGCAACTGAAATCATTCTGGTTTCTTGGAAGATCAGTTGTGTAAAAGGTTTCTGGTTTGAGCATCCATTGTGTTAATGCCTCAGGGTCAAGGTGGTCACCTCTGACCACCTGAGTGAAAAGGCCTTTGCTGACCCCTGGCAGTGACTGACTGGGCCTGCACTGCCGAGTCTGGTAGCAGGCTCCACAGGTAACCTGTCTGCAACCAAACTAGGCCATCTTGATGACTCACACTGATCGTGAAAGCAAAGTGGTACAGGGCCGGTAAAGGAACACCCAGTCAGAAAATCTGAAGCAGCTCCCCACTGAACAATCTGCACCAAAAGGTGTGGAAGGCACAAACAAGAGTGGCCAGAGCCCCTGTGGGCCGGCGAGACCACGAGTGTCCACAAGGCAGGTGCAGAAGCGGCCTGGTTTGGTTCCCACCCTTCCACAAGAGATCCTGATTCTGCTGTGATTAAAAAAAAAAAAAAAAAAGCAAAGACAGACGATTTTTTGGTTTAAAAAGAAGCCACTCAAAGGTTAAAATAGTTATTTTTAACAAAGAAAATTAATTTTCCAATAAGCTGACACTATCTGGAAACTTGTGTGTCCCCTGTAAGCCCCTGTATGTCCACTGCTTCACCCTCCCAGGACCTGAGCCTGACGTGGAGCCAGACGTGTGCAAGAGGAGATCTGAGAAGCTCCACAGACAGCGAGAAGAGCAGCAGTCAGCTCACTCGCTTACAGTAAGATGCACAGGGCCCAGCAGGCAGTTCAGATGGGTGTCTCTTTCCGGTCTTTGCTGGGGGAGGGCTTCACCTGCTCCTTAGCTGCTTTGACCTCGAGGACACCGTCACAGGGCGGTGGGCCTATGCCCCCTCGCCTCTCAGGCTCCTCCTCCTCCTGCAGCTGCTGCTCAGACTTGGCTCGCTGCATCTGGAGCAGTCGGAGCTGCACGCGCAGCTCAATGATGGCCTCACGCTCCTCGTGGACTGCCTGGTTCAGGTGGTTGTTCTTTATCTTAGGAGTGACAAAAAGGGCAGTTACCTCTTCTGCAGGGTCAGAAGGACAAGGAACCAGGGCAGAGCACAGGCTGCAAGCCACCCCAGAGAAGGATCTAGTTCTGTTTCAGCCACCCTGGCTGGTGCAACCAAAGACACAAGCATGAATATGCAAATGTTATATAAATACAGCTCAGAATGGGTGAGAATGTATACACTGCCTGAGGTTTTACCCAAGAGTAAATACATCTAGATATCAAGGTACCCACAGTTATTTTAGGAAGTGTTTCATCGTTTAAATGGGCTTATTTTTCCCCTTACAGCCTTCAAGGAGAGTACAAAGCTAATTTTAGCAGCAATTAGGAGAGGGAATTGGAGCTGGGATAAAAGCTGAGATTCTTGTCCATGTCAAAATCTGTCTTTATGACTACATCTGAAATGTTCTACTTAAAGTCTGTTGGAAACCACAATCACTTCTAAGTGACGAACACTCATTCAGCAGTTTGGGTAATTCAAGAGTAGCTAATCCCAGGTTCTTGGCAGCATGTTTCTGGCAGCAACTGCCTGCATCCATCAGAGCCCTGTCTTCATCCTTAGTATTTCCCAGCATCCTAAGCAGCCGGGTGTGCCATGTGACTAGACCTTTGTTCAAATGAGGTATGAGGATAAGTCCTACTTGTACACTTTGACAAGACACTGGGTGTGCCTGAACGCTTCCCTTCCCTACTGAGCAGCCACTGTGGCCCCAAGCGAGAAAGCGCTGATTAACAGGCCTCGAAATCCGCACAATAAACATTACTCTAAGTCTGCCATTCATCCCCTGTGCAGTAAAACAGAGAGATTAATCTAAGTTGCCAATGTGGTCTAAACAACAGAATCTCCAGCCACCCATGGCTCACCCCTGCTCTTCTTCCCCTTTTGTTTTAAGCATGGTCTCACTCTGTAGACCAGGCTGGTCTCAGTCTCACAGAGAGCTACTGCCTCTGCCTCCTGAGTGCTGGCATCACTTAACAGGTACAGGTGTGTCCACATGGAGATCAGAGGATAGCCTGGCCTGCAGGAGGGAGCTGTCTTCTTCTAAGTCAGGCCCTCAGGCTTCAGAGCAGCAGCAGGGTCACCTGCAGGGCCACCTCCAGGGGTCCCTTTTCCTTTCCTGAAGGACAGATTCCTGCTGCAACAGGTGTATCCGCCCCTAACACTGCCAACTCTCCACACAGGCAGTGGATGGGCAGAGGTCCTGGGCAGAGATCCTGGGCAATTCTTAGATTCTTTTTAATTTTATTTATTTTTATTTTGTGTGCACTGGTGTTTTGCCTGCATGTATGTATAGATGTGAGCTGCCATGTGGGTGCTGGGAATTGAACCCAGGTCCCCTGTGGATGCCAGGAATTGAACCTAGGCCCTCTGGAAGAGCTGCCAGGGCTCTTAACCGCTGAGCCAACTCTCCGTCCCCTAAAATGATTGTTTTCATATCTTCTGTTGTTGTTTTTGAGCCCAACTGTCCTGAAATCACTGTGGACCAGGTTGGCTGCTAACTCAGAAATCTACCTGCCTCACTCATTAGTGCTAAGATTATAGGCATGAACCCCTAAAAGCCCAGCTTCTGAGCAAATCTTGACTCCCATGTGGGCATGGCTATGCTTTGCTTGTCAGTTCAGTGACTGAATGAAGCAAGCTGTCCCTCTAACAAATTGGGGATAAGAAAGGAGATCACGTACATCAGCCCTTCCCTTCCCAGCAAGCTGCTGCCCGGGGCTTTCTATCACACCTACTACAAGGTGTGACAAGGACTTCAAGACAACTGTCCCTCACTTCACCATCCCATCCCATCTTCTCCAGTGGGAAGACCAGACCATGAAGAGCTGCTAGGGTCAGGGACACCCACTTTTTAAAGACTCCAAAGAGAAAGGTCCCTTTGTACACTAACGTCAAGGTTACCACACTTCAAGCAGCTAAGAATTGGCTGGGCAAGAATGCACTTGGCCTCCTCTCTACAAGTCTGCAGTGGGAAAATAGGTGGTCGGGAGCACATTAAAAATGACTGGTTTCAGCCGGGCGTTGGTGGCACACGCCTTTAATCCCAGCACTTGGGAGGCAGAGGCAGGCGGATCTCTGTGAGTTCGAGGCCAGCCTGGTCTACAAGAGCTAGTGCCCGGACAGCATCCAAAGCCACAGAGAAACCCTGTCTTGGAAAAAAAAAAAAACAAAAAAAAAAACAACTGTGTTCTGACTGTTGCCCTCCCAAACTTACTTCCAGCTCCTCATTCTGCCTCTGTAGGTCTCCCAGAATGACCTGCAGCTCCTCCTCGTCTTCGCTCTCGCTCTCGCTCTCAGAAGAGTACTCTTCAGTCTCACTCCGGCCGTGCTGCTGGCGACTGTGAGAAGACAAAGGGAACTTCACTGTGGCTTGGTGGCCAGCTCTCTGAGGTCCACCCATGCTGTTCTCAGACTTGGTAAGAAGCTTGAGGTGATGGGTTTCAGACATGTTTGCAGGAGGGTTTAAACATTCTACCCCCATTTAGACAACCCAGCGGAACGCCCGCCCCCTTTACCTCTGTATCTCGGCGATCTCAGCGCGGAGGCGTTCGATCTCCTCCTTCTCCGAGGCGATCTGACGCCGCAGAAACTGCTCCATGGCTAGGAGCTCCTCCTGCTCAGTCAGGATCTCATTTTCCTGAAACGATTGCAGAGCACCCTTCCAAGTTCTGGTAGAGGAAACGCCACCTTTCCAGGGTCGCCCACCCTGCTCAGTGCTGAACACAAGTTACCTCAACCAAAGCCACACTATTTCCTCAGAATCAGCCGAGTTACACGAAGCTGTTTTGAGAACATGTAGACTCTCCCTATGAGCCTACCACCCAAGACCAGGGGGCAAAGGTCAACCTGCCTCAGCTTCCTGGGGGCTGACCAGAGTACTCAGCCTTTGTCTTGTTCTCAGACCCCCCCCCCCCCCCCCCCCCCCAGCTCCCAGCACTCACACTGGAGAACCCACAACAACATGTAAGTCCAGCTTAAGGAGATCTAACACCCTCTTCTGGCCCAGCAGGCACCTGAACATACACACCTGAACAACACATACACACAGATAAATAAACACAATCTAAAACCCGTCTACTCTGACTCCCTGTCTCTCGGGGTTAGGGGTCACCAGGAACAGAAGAGCCCAAGAGATGATGTGTGGCTGGTCTCACGGCAGATGTAAGGCAGACCAGAGAGAGAGAGAGAGAGAGAGAGAGAGGGAGAGAGAGAGGGAGAGAGGGAGGATGGGAGGTCACAGGTCTTCCTCTCGGCATCAGCCATGCCCTCCAGACACAGACAGCAAGAACTCCACAGATAATCACACACAGAGTCCCTGTTGCTCGAATCCAAGTCTTCCACCCTGGAAAGCAGTCAGCAGGAATGAGGAGCTGCAGGAACAGCTTCAGCATCCTTCTAAAGAGGAGCCACGTGGCCATGCCCCATAAGGACTGAAAGGCTATCAGGCACCTCTCCTTTGCCTCAGGGTACCTACGTATGGAGGTAACACTCCAAGAAATCTCAGACGGAAAATCTTTAAGGTAGTAAACCAGAACTTTATTCTCTCCTGTAAATCAAGAAAAATGCCTACAACATGAACTTGTGTGGACTGATCAAGACTAAGAAACTAGGTAGCTTCTCCTCCACACAACAATTCAACAAACACAGCACAGGGTAAGTCCTTGGGAGTCACTTTACAATTCTGGTTTAAAAAGTCTATAGTTGAGCTTCTATTTGGAAAATGGCCAATAAATGACTTCAGAAATGAAAAGAGTTTAGCTTACCTGGGCAAGCAGGATATTTATAACTTCCTCGTTTTCATTCATTTCTTCTTTGGAAACGTCCTCTTTTGAAAGGCTGGCTATCTCCTGTGCAATCTTGGTCTCACACTCCTGTCAAAGATGACAAACGACCAACTGTTGAGCCGGTGTGTAAAACATTCACAAACCAAAATTAAAGAAAACCCTAGCAGCAGTCAGGTGCCCTGGAAGAAATGATGGAAGGACATTTGCTAACTGGACTTAGGATATAATTTGGGTAGAACCAGGCGTGGTAGTGCACTTTATTAACCCTAGAACTTAGGAGGCAGAGGCCTGGGGATCTCAGTGAGTTTGAGGCCAGCCTGGTCTACAGAGTGAGTTCCAAGAACAGCCAGGATGACATAGAAAGACCCTGTCACCAAAAAACACAGACACAGAACAAAAGAGAGTATAATGTGGGTAGAGACGGCAAGGTGGCTCAGTGGTAAAGACACTCGCTGTCAAGAAGCCAGACACCCGGAGTCCATCCTTCCCCAGGACCATGTGGTGGAGAGCACCGATTCCTCCAAGCTGTCCTTGGTCGTCCACACGGGTGCCTGGCATGTCCATACCCGTGTGCACTCTCACACACACATAAATAATTAAAAAGCTTAAAGTAAGAAAAGAACACACCAGGGTTCCCTTGGTCTGTGGCTGCACTATGAAAAATGCTCACTTCTGATGAATATGCTCACCAGTTGTGGACCACGCTCGATGTCTTGCAGGGAGCTACCAGGGCTGCCAATCCTAAGGGCCTGATTGAACTCGTTTTACCAAATATATTCAACCAAGGAACCACAGCCACCACCCTATGTTAGGAAAGGTCCCCTCAGCTCTACTACCTGCTGATGCCCAGCAACCACAGACCTGCTGTCTGACTCTACAGCCCTTCTTCCCGTGTTTCTGCTGAACTGACTCAGCAGGTAGCTCTTCAGCTTCATACTTGGCTTTAAGATGCTTTGTCTCCTGTGTTGAGGGGAGTGTTGCCAAGTGACGGCCATGGCATGGATGAGCCTCAACTCCCTGATCCACTCAGGGTCCTCTACTTTTAGCTGTTATAAGCTCTTTACAATGTTCTGTGAAGGCCCATGGGTTGTTGTTCTCTTAGAGGATAAATTTCTGGGTTATACGATAAGTAATCACGTGTAAATTTATAAGAAAGTGCCAAGATGGTATCGTGGTTTAAATTGATACTACATTTTTTTCTTATTTTTAGTCTTTAATCCACTAATGATGCTACTTCTGTTTTTATGTCATTTCTCCTTCAAAGGTGAAGTCAACATGATGGGACCTGGGTTCACAGCAACAATGAATGGATAAATAAGAAGGAAGGAAGGAAGGAAGGAAGGAAGGAAGGAAGGAAGGAAGGAAGGAAAGAAGGAAGCAAAGAAAGGCCAGGCAGTGGCGGTGCAGCCTTTAATCCCAGCACTCGGGAAGCAGAGGCTGGCAGAGGCCAACCTGGTCTACAAAGCTACACAGAGAAACCCTGTCTCAAAAAACCAAACCCCCCCCCCCACTGCCGGGGAAAAAAAAAAAGGCAGCAAGCATCAGGAATGGTAGGAGAGGGAACCAACCTGATAAAATGAAGGTATCCATCCCCTTTTCATACTGCCTCAGGTTTCAATCCAAAATTCTGTGTGTATGTGTGCACCTGTATTTGGGTACTTGGGTGCATATGTGTAGAGGCTAGAGGCCATCTGTTGGGTGTCATTCCCCAATCAGTTCTCTACCTTATTTTTTGAGCCAATGTCTCTGACCGAACCTGGAACTCACAGACTGCTCTAGGGTAGCTGGCCTCACGGGTAGCTCTAGGGTAGGAGACACCTCTCCTGTCTCCACCTCCCCAGAGCTGGGATTACAAACATAAGTCATCGCATCTGGCTTTTATCTGGGTGCTGGGGACTGAATTCTGGTCCTTACTTTTGCAAAAGCAAGGACTTTGCCTTTTGCTGTCTCCATGCCCTACACCATGGTTCTTTTATTCAAAATAGATGTGCAACACGAGAAAGGAAAGCCCAGCCTCCACTAGCCATGTTCTAAGTCGTGACTCACAGCCCATGGAAACCCACTGCTGCAATCCAGCACTGGGGAGGCAAAGGCAGCAGAATCACGGTCATCCTGGCTATAGAACAAGTTTGAGAGTATCATGGGCCACATGAGATCCTATTAAAAAAAAAAAAAAAAAAAAAAAAAAAAAAAAAAAAAAAAGGATGGGAAACATAAGACAATCTTGTGAGCTGGGGAGAAAAGAACCATGCAAAGGGCTTCCCCTGGACTACATGTCCTGACACCTGGAGTGCAGGGCTAAGCACAACTATGCTCCCAACAAAGCCTGTGACCTTGAAGCAAAAGACTCAGGTGGCTCTTTGCATGCAACAATCCCCTACACCACTCTCCAAGTCTGAGAGGTGCCAACTAGAGAGCCACTTAAATCTTGTTGCTGGATCTGCATGAAGATTGCAAGATCTGCAGGGATGTATATTTCAGCCTTGGTGTGGCCAGGAATCTGAATCGAGCCCCACACACTAAACTAGTTCAGAATCCAAAGACGGCTTGTACGCTCTATAGGCAGCAGCTGCTGCACACAGTTCTTGCCCTGATGTGCAAAATCCTCCTGGGCCTTCAGCCCTGCATTTCCTCTCAAAACTCACACTTCTCTGCAATCTCCAAAGGTCTCACACCCAGCCTGCTTCTCACCCTTGGAAAGCTGTTTACAGACACAAACCAGGCAGGAAAAACAAAAAACAAAAAAAAAAAAAAACTTCTAAACTTAATGAAACATCTGATTTATACCAAGCTAAAATATGAGTAACACAGAACAACAAACAGTTATGTGAATAAATTTCCCACCAGACAGTTAACATCAACAGGCATGTATCTATTGCTTTTAAAGAAATAACTTACTGTAGTGCTCTGGAATATGACTTTAACTATGTAAAGGTGTGCTGCATTTGTTTGTGCTGAATTTGTTTTATTGGGTAAAGACATGTTATTGTTCCACCTTTCCTGCCTAAGGCACCTGGTTGGTCTAATAAGGAGCTGAACGGCCAATAGCCAGGCAGGAGAGGGACAGGCGGGGCTGGTGGGCGGAGAGAGTAAGGAGGAGGAACCTAGGTTGGAAAGAGGAGTGAGGGAGGAACAAAGGGAGAGGCCCTGGGGCTAGCCAGGCAGCAGCCAGCCAGCCAGACACATAGCAAGCAGGAAAACAGGACGTACAGGATGAAAGGAAGGTACACAGCCCCAAGGCAGAACACAGGTGAAGAGAAACAGGTTAAATTAAGTTATAGGAACCAGAGGGACAAGCCCAAATGAGAACGAGCATTCACCACTAATATTAAATCTCGAGTCATGATTTGGGGGCTGGCAGGGCATGGAAGGCTCTGCCTGCCACACTCTGCACCACACCAGACAGTAGCTCACTTGTCTTTTAGCTTCCCTCAGTTTTCTCTTCAGAGCAGTTAGAATCCTTTGTACTTCCCATAATCTTTCTTCTTTAGATAAGTCCTTTATCCCACCCTGCAGATCTCGATGTAAACAATTCAAAAGAAACTCCTAGAAAACAAAAGGACACGTGGCATGCTGTTCAGTGTCTTGTCATCTCAAAGCAGCACACACAACCCCCACGACACAGCAGCGCTGATTACTCTCTCCACGAGGCCAGCACTGACTTGCAAACCCATCCTCATTTGCTTCACCTGGGAATCAGACGCTCATCATTTGTGTCTAGCAGTTCAATAGCAATTAATTCACCTCCTTTATGTTTCTGCCTCACAGCAACTGCTAAGGAGACGCCAGCAGACAGAAAGCAGGCGTGTGGCCATGTTCATGCAAACACATGTATGCAACCCTCCTATCCAGGCTCTATCTTCCCGCTCTACACGGGCACACACTTACTGGGTTTCTTTTAGATAGCAAAGTACAACAGTGGGAAAGCTCAGGTTCTGAGCTAAATCTTGGTCACATAGTCTAGAAATTATGCCAGAGTAAATTACTAAACTTCCTTTCCACTATAGCACCTTGTCTAGAAAAAGAAACATTTTTGCGCTCCTGGCCGTGGGTGAGTCCTCCCCATGCACTATCTCCAACATTAACGCCAGAGCTCACCCGTTTAAGGTGAGAATACCAAGGCTTTAAAACACTGAACAACTGGCCAAAAGTCAGCGTGACAGGAGTTTGAAATCAGTTCTTACAGTGTAAGAGCCTACGCCATTTCTGCCATGGTTGTTTACTTACATGGTGTGAACTAGGACCAGCTGAAAATGCGCCTCAAAGGGAGGAGTATAGGGCTTGCATAAGGCCCTGGACTGCACCCCCAGGGCCGCACAGAACTGAGTGTGTACCAAAACCTCTGCATCAAGAGGTAGAGGCAGGAGCTCATCGCCTCCTGACCACAGCTCCTCCCTGTGGCCAGCACAGAAGCAGGCAGGGAGAGTAAGGAGAGGGACGGGGTCAAGGCGGGGCCAAGTACACACCTGTCTCCTGATCTCTTCCTTGATGCCTGCCTGGGTCTCTGGCAGTGTGGGCATCGTTGCCATGTTGGACCAACGCAGAGGTCTTGTCACTTGCTTTAGGACCACAGTGCCAAAGAGCTCTTGCACGTGTGTGAAGAGCACATACAGGACACGGTTGCTGATCTGCAGAAAACAGGTTCAGAGTTTAAAAAACTGCTGGGCAGTCTTTACTCCACCTGCACCAGTCACAGCACATCCTTTATTAACCCTGTACAGAGGAAGGAAGTCTCTGAAGCAGGGACAAAACGGGCTACTAACTAACCATCAACTAAGAAGGAAATAGGAAAGCCTGGCTTAAACATGTACTCAAGCACCATAAGGGGGAAAGCCCGTGCAGGGTACAAAATATTACCATCAATTAGCAGTGTCTAATAACCATTTCCATCGTATTCTGAGAGCTCTCTGAATACAGGAGGAGGTGGAGCCCCTTCTTCTGGTGCACACATGCACCAGTGTTCCATGGCTTCCCAGGCTAGGAAGCCAGTACTGCAGGATGGCTCAACAACTAAAAAAAGACATGTTTTCCTTGCTCAAACTTTCTCTTACAATCCCCCTGGAGCTTCTGTGGCCCAGGCATCCACCTTATGGCAATGTTGAGTAACAACATAGTATTGAGCAAATTCTGAAACCCAGGCTAACAAAAATGATATCTGAGAAATTTAAGAAACAGTTGTTTCCCCTGGTGATGGTGGCGCACGCCTTTAATCTAGTACTCAGGAGACAGAAGCAGGTGGATCTCTGTGAGTTCCAGGACAGCCAGGGCTACACAGAGAAACCCTGTCTCCAAAAACAAAACAAAAATTAGAGCTACTGTCTCCTTCATTCTTTTGACACAGAAAAGTGTCCTTACTGTAAAGGCAAACTCAGTCTTTGATAGCATCACTGAGCAGTGATGGAGAGACAGGAGGCGGAGGCCAGGAAGGTGGCTTGGTCACTAAAGTATCTATCGTGCAGGCCAGGAGGCCCAAGTTCAACCTCCATAATCCACGGGGACATGGCAGTGCACAGTTGTAATCCCAGTGCTGGGAGGCAGGGACAGGAAGGTCCCTGCAGCTTGCTGGCCAGCCAGTGGGGAAAAAAGGTGGATGGTTGGTGTTTAAGAACAATACTCGAGTTTGTCCTACAACCTCCACACAAATATGCACACATCGACACGTACAGCCACACACACACACACACACACACACACACACACACACGTTAAGTCCCACATAGGAACTTGAACGCACATATACAAAAGGATGCCAGATATGTATGCCAGGCTTGTCCATTATTTGCCTTCTTGGATTCACCGTTTCACACGCAGCTCAGCATCAGACTCCTGCTAATTTCCCTGTGTCAGTACAAAAGGGGTGTGTAGCCAGAACGCATACCTGGACGGTTGGGCTAAGCACTATGGAGATGTTCTGGATATTCATCTTCGTCTCCAGCTCCTTTGCAATCACATGGTCCATGTGTACAATGAGCCAGGAAATCAGAAGGTGGTTACACTCAGGCAGCTCCTTGAGCAAGCGCTGAAATTCCTGCACTTTCTCTGTCTCCGTGGCCCTCCCACAAGCCTCTTCGAAACGCGGCATAAGCTCTTTGGTAAGCAAATTCTCCGGAAGGTCTCGCAAATACTGCTTCAGCAGACTGGCTACAGTGTTAGGTTCATACTCTTCCAAGTTTGGAGACTCCTCCCGGTCATAGGCTGCTTTTAGCTCATCTACCTTTGATTTGATTCCTAAAAACATGAAATTGACAAGAGAGAGAACAGAAGAAATCAGACATGCTGCAGAGAATCGGGGCCAGCTAGTAATGTGGCTCACAGCTGTAACTCAGCACTCAGAGGCTGAGGCAAGAGGACTACTGCCTGGTTAAGGCCAGCCTGGGCTACATAACAATGCGGGCAGAGAGGAGACACACTGTCACAGATGAAAGAGTACACATGCAAGCCATCAGCAGGAGACCTCCCCCACGGAGCCCTCACAGACAAGAGACAATCCATCAGGAATGAGGGATTCTCCAAAAGATGCAAGTATCAAAGACAGATCAGAAACAAAAGACTCTTTGAGCAAAGCTACAGAAAATTTTCAGAGAAACTTGCACCCCCAAAAAATGTCTTCAGATCATGTGGGAAATAGCTTCTATACCTGTGTAAACCTTTAAAACATTTCAATACATAATAAATACTTAGAAATCATATTTACAACTTTGTGTTTAACTTTATATGGAAGTAAGGAATTACAAACTTAAATGCACTGTGTGTTTTACTTTCTATAGAATAGTAGCAATGCAGCATTTTATCTACTGGGTCATATTAAATGTTATCCCAAACATCAAATCTATCTGCTGGAAAGAATATGAACCAATTAAGTGGAAAATTTGCTTAATATTTCTCTTTGTTCTAGACATGTATGACTCTCCTGCCCCATGAAGAGACGTGTGGTCAAAGGGCAGCACAAAAGTAACCTTCTACGCAACAGAATGGCTGGTGCAGACACTGCCCAGCTTGGGACCTGAACCCCAGGTTAGCACAAAACTCGTGCTGCTTTTGAAGGAAGAAATCTCTGTACTTCTAAATAATGTACAGGTTGCTAGATTTTAGATATCCAATATGAAACACATTCTGACCAAGTATGAACTACAATGGTCACATAAGCTCTGTAGATGAAGGGGTCACCAGTTTCGTTGACATCTGCAGTAACTGTGTACACCTGACACAGCATTCACATTCAGGGCCCAGCTACTTAGAAAATGACACTTCTCATCTCTAGTCAGGCTCAGGAAACACAGGACAAGGCTGTGTCATTAACCATATCTCTTGGCTGAGGCTTCCTTCAACAGATCTCAGCCTCCCCACCACTGGGCCCAGGGAGAAGACATGACAGGCTTGGCACACCACCCCAGTAAGTGACACAGCCCATACGCTTCACTCCGCCCCGTCGCTGCAAGCGAAATTAAAGTGAAGTGTCTGCGATACCTGAAACCCTGTAGACGCCTTCACACTTCATGCCATGCTTCTCCATGAAGTCTATACACTCACGGAAGACAGCTGGCAGGCGAACGCCATCGTACATCATGGTCCTCTCGACCGCATCAGCCAGCGGAACGCCAAAAATGGGCCTGAGACTCGGAACATCGACCTGAGGCACCTCGGGCTCCTGTATGGGCTTTTTCTTTTTCTTCTTTTCCTTCCACTGTTTAACGACGTCGGCCGCCGTCAAGTCTTTAGATTTCTTTTCTTTATGCTTGTCCTCCTTGTGCTTTTCTTCTTTGGGTTTTTCTTTGATTTTAAAATCCTTCTCCTTCTTTTTAGAGAAGCTGGGTTTCTTGAACACATGGATTCCCTTGGACCTCTTCATCTTGGACGGACTTTCGGCTTCATCTCCAGAGCTGTCTTCCTGGAAGGCGGCATAGCCTTCAGCTGCCAAAGAAATGCAGTCCATAAAATCAATCATGCTTTCAAAGTCAACTGTCCGCATGCTTCCTGAATGCAGCTTTCCCCTCTGGGGCCTCCAGAAAACCATCCAAAAAAAGTCTGTGACAGCCAATAACCACAAGAGGGCAGCAGACAGCAGCTATCCTCTCAGTAACACCATATGCGAGCAGAGTTCTGAGACACCAAGAACACACACAAAGCAATGTTATGTTTCATGAAACATAACATTGCTGCTGCTGCTGCTACTGAGCTACCCTGCCTGTTTGTCCCTCTAACGGGAGGCACACATGAAGCGAGAACATCTGAGATCAGCACGTTGGTTTGTGTGTGTGCCACCTTTGCTCCCCCTCCCATTACTCCCTTTCTGGGAAAACTGGAGCGGGGCACACAGACCCTTTAAACTGAAGGCTGAGTGTGATTATTCCCTCACTTTGGCTGACACATTAGAAGTAATTCCTGCATTCTGACAAAGACACTAACTGCCTTAACACCAACTGAGAACTGCCAGTTTGCTTTGGTTCTCGTTTGTTTCTAGGATGAAGTCAGTCTCACTGAGCACAGATAACAACCCTGCATCAGCCTCGGGAACAGTTCAACTAAAGCATGTGTGCACCGCTCACCTGGCTGTCTCTTTATAGTCCGACATGCCTCTGACTGTCCTGAAACTCACTGTGTAGACCAAGCTGGCATCCAACTCAAACAGATCTGCCTGCCTCTGCCTTGGAGTGCACCACAGTGCCTGGGAAATGTTTTCATATTATTATTTTATGTGTGTGTTCACATCAATGTGTGTTACACGTGCCTATGGCAGCCAGAAGAGGGCATCAGGTCCCCTGGAGCTGGAGTCATGGTGGTGTGAGGTTCTGGAAGAGCCTCAAGCTCTCAGGAAGCAGAGACAGGGGCATCTCTGAGTTGGAGGTGCTCCAGTCCAGGACAGTCAGGATTACACATAGAAACCCCATTGCGAATGACCAAAAGCAAAAAAATCTTAAGAGCAAACACTATGATGTAAAGCTGACCCATAGCTGCAGGATCCCCACGACTCAGGACAGCAGGACAGCCGAGTCTCTATGAGGGTCCAGTATTGACACTGCAGCGAAGCCAGAGGCTTTGACCTCACCTAAGGACTCATTGCAAAGAACATTCACAGGCCAAGCGGTTTGGGCAAAAGGGTGTACCGTGCGATACGTCATAACTTCCAAGGCCACTAGGAAGAACAAATGGTGTGCGGTGGAGATGCAGGAAGGATGGAGGGGCAGAGTGGCCATTAGAACGCGGCTGACAGCGACAGGAAGGCCACTGCCCAGGGGTCCACCAGCTTTGTTTCTTTGTTTTCCTCCTTTTCTACTTTTTATTTCAAAGATTTATTTACTATTATACAGTGTCTTCTGTCTACAGGTCAGAAGAGGGCACCAGATCTCATTACAGGCGGCTGTGAGCCACCATGTGGTTTCTGGGAACTGAATTTAGGACCTTGGGAAGAACAGCCATTGATCTTAACCTCTGAGCCATCTCTCCAGCCCCTTACTTTATTTTATTTTTTATTTACTTTTGAGAGGAGGCTACAAGGGTGGAAGGTGGGCATGGAAGGACTGGGAAATGAATGGGACTGGGGTACATGATGTGAAATATCCAAAGATTAATACAAATTGTTATAATTTTTTAAATAAAATGAAAATCAGTACTTACTCCTTTTTTCTTTTTTCTTAAATTTCCCTTTTTTCTTCCCATGGTCTTTCTCATCATCCGACACTATGTCAGGGGGCTCGTGGAGGATGTCATGAGGAGGCGAGGGCTCACCCGTCCGGTACAATCCAGGAAATTTTGTAGGGCTGATCTCCTCAGAGCTGGGGGTCCGGGTCAGCCCACTGCCATGCTCCGCCCTGCGGTGTTCACTAGGGCTGCTGGTGGGGGGCAGGAAGCACTCGGTCATGCTGATGCCCTGGCAGGAAAGGGAAGCTGTCCTCTGTTACCTACCCATCACACCTGCAGGGAAGAAGGCGCCTGCAGTCAGCACACACCACCCGACAATCAGAACCGCTGTGGACACTCAGCCACGAACCCTGCATTCACTAAGGAGCCCCCCCCCCCATCTTGTATCACAAGGTACATTCCAGGGGTCATATACCTCAGTTCTCAGAACTCAGATGCCTGTAATCCATGCAGTCAGAAGCTGAGCTACATGTCTGAGGCCAACCTAAGCAACACCGCAAATCCCAGACTATTTTGGGCTACACAGGGAGCCCCTGTCTCAAACAAAGAAGTAGGAATAATGAGCTCCTTTTGGAAACAACATCTCTGGATGCAGTGGTGGCGCACGCCTTTGATCCCTGCACTCAGGCTGAGGCAGGCAGATCTCTGTGAGTCTCAGGCCAGCCTGGTCTATAGAGTGAGTGCCAGGACAGCCACTAGAGACATTGTCTTTTAAAAAATTACTTAAACCAAGCGTTGGTGGCGCATGCCTTCAATCCCAGCACTCAGGAGGCAGAGGCAAGCGGATCTCTGTGAGGTCGAGACCAGCGTGGTCTGCAGAGCGAATTCCAGGACAGGCTCCAAAGCTACAGAGAGAAACCCTGTCTCGAAAAACCTAAATAAATAAATACTTAAATAAATAAATTTAAAAAGAACTCACCAATATAAAGGCTTCATTTTAACAGTTATTCAACATAAAACCTTAGTATTTTTAAACTGTGCTCCATCCAAGCAACCATCAATAACAAACTCTAAAAGCCATACAACTATGCAAGAACAGCTGATGTGTATCTATCACTACTATTTACAATGGCAACAATCTTTAATGGCTCACACAGTGGGAATAACAAATCTATTCTGTGACGGTTATACCAAAGAAACAAAGGAACCTCATTTAACCAGCCCTGCATAGGAGGTGCACTGTCTCACTGCAGTAGACAGCATAAGAGGCATTCAAATTGGTTGCTTCTCCTTTTAGTCAGAGTATACACAAAGTACTGTGTTCAAAAGCTACTTAGAAGCTGTGGTCCACACCTGTGACCCTAATCCTCAGAAGTCAGAGCCATGTAGTTTCCAAGGTTAAGGCCAGCCTGGGATAAAGAGAAACAAGTTAAACGTCAGCCCAGGCTGTACAGTGACACCTGACCTTAAAAACAACCAACAAAAACATTTTTGATTTTTTTTTAATTTTTATTTTATTTTTTGTTTTTTTCAAGACAGGGTTTCTCTGTGTTAACAGTCCTGGCTGTCCAGGAACTTGCTTTGTAGACCAGGCTGGCCTTGAACTTACTGAGCTCTACCTGCTTCTGCCTCCCTAGTGCTGGGATTACCAGGCATGGGCCACCAGACCTGGCTCTTGGTAATGTTTATGGTATATAAAATGACCGTAATAAAGCTTGAAAAAAAAAAAAAAACCACAAAAGGCAAGCCTCTGCAGCCCTTCCCCAGGCCTCTCCCTAGTCAGCCACTCCATCCACTACCCCCAGGCCCCGGCAACCTGAATGCACCTATTTGAATTATATACTCACATATCTTTCTGCCTTGTTTGCTTAACACAACCCAAATATTCAATGTCTACTTAATAAACTATTATGTTTCCAACATGTTACTGCTGTTAAAATGAAGACACCACAAAACTTGCCCTTACCTTTCAATTCCAATTCAAAAAAAAAAAAAAAAAAAGAAAAAAAGAAAGGTGTGTGTGTTGGGGGGGGTCTTTACAGGAGTTCCTCAGATTTGGGGAATTCATATATTAATACACTTAGCAAAAGCTACAGGGAAATTCATGGTTTTCTACTTACAAACAGAAAAACTAAGGGTAATTTCCCCAAATCATACAGCTAAAGATCAAACACACATTCTTTGCACAACACGGGGTGCATGTGTACAAAGGTCAGTATGAGAAATAAAAACACAAACAGGAGCACATGGGCCTTCTGAGATAGCAGAGGACACTGGCCCGAGCACAGAGCTTGTGAAGCTAAAGGTGGGCAGGGGGTAGTGGGCCATACCTGTAACCCCAAACTCGAGAGGCCAGGGCTGTCAGAGAGCAAGCTCCAGGTCCACCAATTCACACAAAAGCTAAGCCCAAACGTACTGAGCACAGCCTAAGAGCAGGAAGACCTGCAGACAATGCCAGCTTGTTTTTTGTTTTTTGTTTTTTGTTTTTTTTGTTGTTGTTGTTGTTTTTAAGATTTATCTATTTGATGTATACCTGTGTGAGAAAGTGTGCATGCAGTCCCCATGGAGGCCACAAGAGGCCATCAGAGCTCCTGGAACTGGAGCTACAGGCAATTATGAATTACCCAAAGGGCTTGCTGGAAACCAAATCCAGGTCATCTGCAAGAGCAACAGCTCCAGTCCCATGCAAGGCCAGATTTTGACATTCAACCCCATGTTTCCAAAGTATTTTAAAATTATACCTATATTTACATATAATCCTGGCTCACTGTTATTTTTAATAAATTTCCATACTAAATTGACAAAAATAAGGGTTTTGTTCATAAAACAACAGCTGTTGTAAAACTACCCCAAAGAATAATTTATTTAGCCGGGCGGTGGTGGCGCACGCCTTTAATCCCAGCACTCGGGAGGCTGAGGCAGGCAGATCTCTGTGAGTTCAAGACCAGCCTGGTGGGGCTGGCGAGATGGCTCAGTGGTTAAGAACATTGCCTGCTCTTCCAAAGGTCCTGAGTTCAATTCCCAGCAACTACATGGTGGCTCACAACCATAATGAAATCTGGTGCCCTCTTCTGGTATGCAGGCTTACATGCAGGCAGAACACTGAATACATAATAAATAAATCTAAAAAAAGACAAAAAAAAAAAAAAAAAGACCAGCCTGGTCTACAAGAGCTAGTTCCAGGACAGCCTCCAAAGCCACAGAGAAACCCTGTCAAAAAAAAAAAAAAACAAAAAAAAAGAATAATTTATTTATACTAAGGACTGAATGTGTCTCCCCCAAACCCCGACATAGAAATAAAATCCCCAAGGTGATAGATAGTGTTGGAGATGCAATGTTTTGGAAGTGCCTATGTCATTAGGGCAAGGGAAATCTGAGTCTTCAAGAAGGACTGAAGAGCTCAGAGCTCACTTTTCACTACAGGACACAGCAGCAGGCCCTAGACGCTGAATGGGAAGCCAGAACCTTGATTGTAGACTGCCCAGCCTCCACAGCAACCACAGGGCCAGTGTTGGCTTCTGTTAACTCAAATATAGCTGCAGAGGGCTTCAGTTAGGAGCAGAAATGAAGGACTGTGGGAGTCAGATATGAGTGTTTGAGCTGAAGAGAGCCACAGCCAACTGGAACTTTATAGATGAGTAGAAAAGGGAGAATTCAAATGGTATGATGCAGTAAATTAGGTATAAATATCCAAAGGCAAGATAATAAATAACAAGCCTCAGAAATCCCCCTTTCTAATGCAAAAGCAAATCTGGTATTTTCTTTATTTGAATAATGAGATATTAGATATTCCTCCTAGCAAGAAAATTAAAAATTCTAGATAGCAGATTTCTCAAAAAGACTATGGAAGGAAGACAGGTGGGTTCAGAACCTAAAGACAGGTGAATTTCCCAAGCTTCTGTGCCTTCTTCCATGCTCCTCCCCCTCTCTTCTCCCAAACCCCTCCCCCTCTTCTCCCACGCTCCCCCCTTCTCTTCTTCCACGCCCCTCCCCTTCTCTTCTCCCAGAGGTAAACTCTTTCAAAACACAATCTGTGTTGGCCAGCTTTCTGTAACCTGACACCAGCTAGAGCCATCTGGGAAGAGGAACTCTCAATTGAGAAGATGCCTTTCTAGCGCTTGCCCAATGGGCAGGCCTGCAGTGCCTTTTCTTAATGAGCGAGGGCCCAGCCCACTCTGCACAGGTGGTCCTGGATGGCCTACCCAGCCATGGGGAGCAAGCCAGGAAGCAGCATTCCTCCATGGTCTCTGCATCAGCTCCTGCTCTCTGGTTCCTGTCTTAAATTCCTGCTCTGACTTCCCTTCAGTGATGGACTGTTAACTGGAAGTATAAACTGAAATAAACGCTTTCCTCTTTGGCCATGGTATCTTATTGCAGCAACAGAAACTCTAAGACACCACACTATAACAAAGTCTTGAGGTAAGTCAACTTTTCAGATAAGTTTATTACATCTCATGGTTTCAAGGGATTTGGTCCTGCTCTGTTAGGCCTGCCTTGAGGCAGTTAAGTCATGTTAGAGAATAGTCCTCAGCAAAGACACCCAACCACCCACCCACGGGCAAATCAGGAGAAAGACAGGAAGTGACTGCAGTCCTGCTCCCAGTGGCTCCTCACTAAGCCCGTCTCTTAAGGTTTACCACTTCCTAATAATGCTGACTCAGAAGCCAAGCCCTTAGGACATGGGTTCCTAAGGAACCCTCAAAAATTTAAATTACTCCAAAGTCCAAACCAAAAACTTGCTAAAGTTTACAGTTCACAACCCAGTGGGCAATAAATTCAAGGGGGAAAAAAAAGCTCCGTGTCACTAAATATTCAAGAAATGCAAATTAAAACATCTTAAGCTATCCTAGTCATCGTGCAGAATGGCTAAAATTTAAAGGAATGACATGAATTTGAGGTACCCAGAAATCCAAACCCTGAATGATGGACTGCGGGAATGTGGAGTTCCACCACTTTGGATAACTACCAGTATCCGGGTCAGCATACCTCCCTACATGACCAACAGTTCCACTCATGAACATCCACCCAAGAGAATTAGAAACAAAAAGACAAAAAACGATCAGAGCAGACATTGCTAAAATCAAAACTAGCCAGGTGCGGTGGTGGTGTACACCTTTAATCCCAGCAATGGGAGGCAGCCAGACTGACAGAGAAACCCTGTCTCAAAAAACAAACAAACAAACAAACAAAGAAACAAAAAACAAAAAAAAAACAAGAGTCTAAACTAGAAACACCACGAGAAACTTTGAACCCTGGCATCCTGACTAGCAGATTCTGCTCTGACTTCTGAGGGGTCAGGAAGAGCCAGACACGAAAACAGCATTATGCTTTGA